AATTTTTTAATATACGCTGTAATACTTTTTTTGCACATAATAGGAAAAATATAAAATAGTTTTCCTGTATTTTGGAGTGTGGACGCGCCGCCATTTTGAATTTTGAAAGGGGCCACACGGCAAATAAAAGTAGACATGTTTAGCTAAATTTTCAGCCCTGAAAAAATTTTTTGGGTTCATATGAATTCTGGGCAGAGAGGGGTGTCCGCTTGAGAAAGAATGCCCCATATATACAGGGTGTCCCATTTTAAATAATGCATTAAGATATCTCGAAAACTGGTAAATACCGAAAAATGTTTCAAACAAAAATTGTTTGGTTCGACGGGAGAAATAAGAGAATACCATTAATTTGATCTTGAACGGTATCGTTAATGGCAAATTAAATATTACCCTATTATTATTTAATTCTTTATGATCCAAAAAACAAAAAAAATGACAAGGAACGTTGACTCTGAAAACACCAGATTCCAAGGCTTCGACATGTCCTGCACCCACATAGGTTTCTTGGTCCAGTAAATGACCATCTTTTGTCAATTTATTTAATACAGTTTCTTGTTTGTTAGGAAATATAACATTAGCTTGAAAAGCTTGTACCATAAGAAGTGATTCACAGAATGTACCAGATCCTTTTCCGAATACCTAAGCATAAGTCAAATAAAATCAAAATAAAGATCGTTTAAAGAAATGTATATCAATTAATGTACATAATATAAATTATTTTTCTTACTTCATCAGGTTCCATAGGAATAATAGTGCATAAACGCAAATATGAAGGGATGAATATATTTTTGATAGAGATAAAATATTGTCACAGCATTAGAGACAGAATAGTTTGCGAGTATTTCAGGTTCTTCCGATGCTAATCTGCACATATTTTCTGTATCAAGTTCTACTGGATCGTATCTCAACTTAGTTTTAGAGAAAACTTGTAAATTTTAAGGATATTTCTGGGAAATAGTTGGATTTCTGGACGAGATTGAAGGGCCTAAAGAAGTGAGAAAAGTTCAGCATTACAAATTTATTAAAATTTTTAGTGAGCAATAACAGCAAATATCACATTCAAGTCGTTGCTTGGAACAATGAAATAGAAAGAATCAAACATCATATAAATGGTGCAAAAGCGAAGAAGCCTCAAATCACTGACTTCTTCTTGTCTCTATCTTTTCTCGTCTCTTTCTCATTTCCGATGTCTTGTTTCGCGGCTCTCATCTTTCTCTTCTCGCTAATAAAAATAAACAGTTTGTTAAATAAATATTTTATATCAAAATCTACCAAGATAAGTCATAAAGTATCTATCTCGAATTATTAATTTCTCGACTGGTAAGTGCAAACATTTACATGCACAATAATTAGAGGAAACTTGTTATGTGTGCGTAAATATTTTTTAAATTCTATTCTTTTAAGCTGAACTTCTTACACATTACAGTTCATCTTTTCTTTTTACCTTCTACTTTGGAAAACAGAATTAAATTTCAAAACAATTCTCTCACCTGTATTTCGTTCTCTTTCTCTCTCTCTCATTTCCCGTCTTCCTTTCTGATCTAGTTTTTTACCTCTCCATCTCTCTCATATAATATCTCTCGTCCCTTAGTTCTATTCTTTCGTCTTCCTTCTGTCGTCTCACTTTGATCCCTTTTTCATTTTTCGTGTATCATTTCGTTTCTCCTTGCTCACCTATGCATACACAAATATTATTATAAATATATATAATACCGGATTTATGTGTATATATTTATATTTACTGACATAGCATTACTTAAAATTTTATATAAATATTTACAGATTTACAGATATTTACAGATATTTACAGATTTACAGATATTTATATAAATATTTACAAATAAATATACAGATTATTCATAATTGCATACATTTGTTTATATGATTATTTGTTATAAATATATCTACAAATATATGTGACAAAGTTTTACCTGTCTTCCTTTTCTCTCTTTTCTTCTTCATTTATTTTCTTTCTTTTTCCTCTTCTTTTCTCTTCAGTCCTTCTCTTCATACAATGTAAATAACAATTTAACCTGTATAGTAAAACGACGACGCTAACTGTAAATAAAACATAACAAAGTAACAACTTTTTCTTATAATAATACACTTACGTTATTAAGAATAAAAATGCTGAGCGACACTTATCTGATGTGAGCAACAACACGAAGACGATTATTAGCAACCTCTCGATATCCATAACCGCACATATAACTGTCAATACCGCGGACGATAGCCGTTCATAGCGAATTCGCAGCACAACAACCCGTCTCATCACCCGTTCTGTTACTCTGACTCTGAGCAATGACCGTTTGTGATATTATATAATATCACATTGCTGTTTCTTTTTTATTTTTATTTAAAAATAATATATAGGACACAACAGAACCACG